GTAAAGCAGCTCATTTCCTTTCCTAAGAGGGCTTAACCCACCCTCTTAAACCAGGTTTTGCTTTGGTTTACCCAAATGAGGGGATAGGTGTGTGGTCCCCCTTCCCATAGACCAAGAGAAGTCTCTCTCAACTCCTGCCCTCTCCCCTAGCTTTTAATAGCCTTGGGAACACTTGGCATGCATCCAAGTCTCTCCCAAACAAATTCAAGCCATTCAATCCAAAGGTGAGGGTTAAGTGGAGGAAACTTGACTGAATACATCATTCCTTAACATTTCATTCAAACTCTCTTCTCCAATAGCCTCCAGCTCTCTAAACCCTTCCTCCAGCTCTTCTAGCAAGTTCCCTAGCTTTCCTAAGCTTTTCTCCACCAAAACCAAGCCTCAAAACACCATTTTGGTGAAGAGAGAGGGTCCTAATCAGAGAAAGTGAGGTTTGCTTAAAACTTTCAATCAAGCCATCATCTGCTTGTGGAGTTTTCTACAAAGTTGGATAAGACATCCCCAAGAGAAAAGGAGCCCAAAAACTTCAAAATCCATATATTGATTGATGAGAAAACTCAACTTTTAGTTAAAAATTCAATTTGAAAATTTTCAAAATTTTAATTTCATGGAGCATCGAAACTCAAGGCAATGAAAATTTATGTTACCATGAGTATATGTTTCAAATTTAGTAGAATTTAGATGAGAATTTTGAAATATATGAGCATTTAAATTTTTTTAAGTCATTCTAAACTAAAACTCTAGCCAACAAATTAGAGCCATCCGATTGCATGTTTAGCATGATCGGATGGTCCTGATTGCGCCACATCACATGATTTTGAATTCATCGATATGTTTACTGTCAAGCTTATATGGCTGAATCTTAGCTAATGAGTCATTCCACGATCGATTCGATGGCTCACGTCACCCGCTGATATTGTTAGGTGGCAAATTAAAGACAGTACGCCATGTGGCAATGGGACACTATGGCGTGCTACCACGTGTCACCTCATTACTGCGTGACTATGCTGCACTCCATTGTGCTGCCACATGTCTAGCTACCATTGCGCCACCATTTTTCTCACTCTAATCTTTGTGAATGAATGGCAGAATGACGCTGGTGGCTGATTTGCCATAAAATAAGTTTTAAAATTCAATTAAATGCTCATAAACTTTAAAAATTCACAAAGAATTTAATTGTTTTACCAAATTAAGTGATATTGTTGTCATTTGAAAGGGCTTGCTCCTAGTATTTATTAAAATTAAATTCAAAGTATTTTGAAAAACCCAAAGATTGAAAAACTATGAGGCCTCACCCAAGTGAAAAGATTTCACTATATTTAAGTGAATTACAAAGGTTAACCCATCCCTTGATTTAGAGGCGATGAAATTACAATAGTTTGGAAGCCCAAAAGAGACCATGTGGAAGTCTGGTGGCAAGCAATGATCAAATAACAATTAGAAACCAGGCAGTGATCCAACGATGGTTGTGCGAAAGCCCGTCTGCGGTCGGTGATTGGGTGGATGTCCGGTGGTGGTCAAAAATTGGCGGCGATCCGACGATGGTCGGGCAGAAGTCCAGTGGAGGTCGATGACTAGGTAGAAGTCCAGTGGAAATAGATGGCTCGACGATGGTTCGATGATGGTCAAGCAAAAGTCTGACAACGGTTACTAGCCGGGCGATGGTCCGATGATGGTCGGGCGGGAGTTCAACAAAATAGTGGAAGTTTTATGGAGGTCGATGAAGGTCCGTCGATGATAGTGCTAGTGCTCTTAAAGCTCTCTCCAATCTCCAGCCGATGGTCCCACTCATGTGGAGAGTGGTGGTCTATTTATTAATTTTAAGAATGACATGCCCCATAAATATGAAGAATATCAGAGGTAGATTCAGAGTGCTTCATTGGACGGGCCGTGTTGATACCCTCAATCATAAAGCATTTTTTAAGCATGTATGTGCCTTCATGATGTTTGAATTAAAAAATCTCGGGCTCGTTGGATTCCTCTCGCCGAGCCACTAGATTTGACTATAAGCATGCCATATTTGGATATTGTTTAGTCATGTAATTAATGCTTTGAATCTTCTAAAAGTATTTTGACCACTTGATTTAGAGTCATTAGGCTTGTATTGCACCGATTTTGGTGTTGTTGGGTTTATCTCTTCAAGACATTCAATTTGACTATAAGTATGCTAAAATTGAAGTTCGAATGGTCACAAATTTAGTTTTAAAAGTTTATGATTCATATTTTCAACGAGATTCATGCCATTTAAGACAATTTTTGGTGTTGTATCAAATAGTATTTTTTTCATTAATTTTAAATAAAAAAATTGTTTAAAAAAATAGAAGCTCACTTGTTTGATTCAAATTTGTCCATCGATGATGCATGGACCATGCTCTCTAGATTGACTAAAAAAAGAGAACTAGAAAGAGAGAGATGGAGAGAAAGAGATAGATGCTGTATGATTTTATTGCTCGAAGGTAAAAACTAAGGTCAAGAGAAATAAGTTGGCATACGTTCTTAGGCTTACCCTATGACCCTCTATTTATAAGTGGAAGTAATGTTAGTGCTATGAATAAAAAAAAAAAACTTTAAATGACTTAATATGACCAACTAAAATCATGTAATAAAAAAGAGATATGTTAATCATAATTCTTTAATTATATGAGATATGACATTAAATCTTTCCAAATATAAAATGAGCTCAAATGCGGCCACTGATTGGCCCGATTTGATCTGATTGACCGATGAGATCAATATCTTTCATCTAGCTTGGTTGATATGAGTAAATTTCACACATGGAATGTAATAACAAATTAATTTGAACATTTAAATATTTATCTCCTTAATTAAATATAATGATAACTGTTGCGTCCTGAAATATTTGCGTCGGTAGAGAAATATAAAGTTTAACGTCTTAGCTTTGTATGAAGATCCAACACATAATAAGATAAGACAGAAGGTGTAACATTCATAAGATACACCATGATTTTTACGTGAAAAATCCTAAAAATGAGAAAAAACATAGGGTCTAGCCTAGTTTGTATGAATCCACTAGTATTTGCTGTTGATTACAAATGAGGTCCTTCATTGGAGGGAAGGCATTGGCTTGATGCAACAAATATACATCATATAGAGTGTGTTATATGGTGAAAGTAGGAAGCATCATTGTTGACTTGTTTGTTTGGTCGAAAGCATCATAATCAGCGAGTGCGGAGGTCAGAAAGAATATTGTATGGCGACGAAGGTCGGAGGGACCGTAGTCGGCGGGCGACGGAGATCGGAAGGACCATTGCATGGAAATGGAGGTCAGAAGGATCGTAGTTGGCAGGCGACTGAGGTAGTAAAGAAGTTGTCTCGCGACGGAGGTTGGAAGGACTGTAGTGGGGTGGAAGTCTGGCTTTGGGTAGAAATCCGACGACGGACGGAAGTTTGGCACCTAGTAGAAGTCAGGCGAAAGTCCGATGACGGGCAGAAGTCAAATGACAGGCGGAAGTTAGGCATCAGGTAGAAGTTCGAAGAAAGTCCAGCGACAGCAAGAAGTCTAGCGACGAGTAAAAGTTTAGCGTTGGGTAGAAGTTAGACGAAAGTCCAGTGAAGGGTGGAAGTTCGATGTCAGATAGAAGTTTGAAGAAATTCCAATGACGAGCAGAAGTCCGTCGTCAGGTAGAAGTCCGACAAAAGTTCAGCGACGAGCAGACGTCCAACGATGGGCGGAAGTCTGACGTTAGGTAGAAATTCGACGACATGCAGAAGTCCGGCGTTTGGTAGAAGTCTAACGTCGCGCGAGCTAACGAGTCGAGTGGAAGGGTGTTCAAGCTCGAACTCAATACCTGTTGAGCTTGAAATCACGTTCGAGCTTGACTTGCGGCTCGACTCGTCGAACCTATTATCGAGTCGAGCTCGACCCAGCTTGACTCAGTTGCACCCCAAGTACCCTCACAAAATCTGGATGATTCTCTCATTCAGACTCCGCAGGTAATAATTTCTCTTGAAACAGATCCTAAACTTATCTGACAAACTAATTCATTGTTTTTAAATGGATGGGGGCATATTTCAAGTGATTATTAATTAACCAGTTTGGATACAACAATAATAAAATAAGTGTGCTTAAATTCTTATTAGATGTTTAAGTGTCCTTTTCGTACTTACTTTCTCTCTTATAAGTTCAGCCATCGGCCGCCATCCGATTTGCCCATTTGTGTCCTTTTGTTCCATGTCCATCAAATAACGCTTGCTTTTATTTTATACAAAGCATTGTAAGTTCGATTTTTCTCAAAAAAAAAAAAAAAAAAGAAAAATTAATAATAATAATAATAATAATAATACAGAATAATACATTAAAATTATTGTGACATATTAGTTAAAAAGATAATTATCTCTAAAAAATTATATTTCCAAATCAAATATTTTTATAATTTATCACTCATTGTCTTAAAAAGTAATTATTTTCTCTATGTTTTTTTTTCAATATTAAAATATTCCTGTGTCAAAATTATTTTTTATATTAAAAAAAAAGCGATAAAAAAGTCATCCCAAACAAAGCTTAAATCCATCTGCAACGTTGTTGCAATGTTAATGTTTTTTGCGACTAAATTGATGACAAGTTTGCGAATACAGTCATAGCAAAATAATATTTATATAATGAAAAGCAGTTGAAAAAGATCGTCAATACAACTAAAAAAATGAACAATTATGGGACTACTTGGTTTTTTTAATAAGGGATGTGAAGTAAAAAATGATGCAGTGGTTACAAAAATTCTGATTTAATTAGATGAAAAAGTAAAATAATTTGTTTATATATATATATTTACAATTCATCCTTCTTTTTTACTTTCATTTTATTTGGAATTCATCTAATTTTAGGAATTTCAGGCATATCATGTGCATGAAGCCTCACCTCCTATCCATGGGTGCTCTCCGACGCCACCCAGAACTATTTGCCACCGATTATCGTTCACCTGCCACCACCACTGCTATATTATTATCATATGTTGCCTTTTACTTGATATTTTTTATGCAAATTAAACTCGCATAGTTTTGAATGAGAACCGTTTACACCCCAAGCAAGCTCGCTTAACCACCTTTGCCTGTCGCCGCCCACCACCACAACCTGCCTCCACCTGCCCAAGGCCACCACCGTCTGGAAGAGAAGGAAGAAGAGAAACTTGAGTTCTCTTGCCACCAGACTCATCCTCGATCACCATCGGACTTCCAACCAGCAGCCGACTGATGTCAGACTTCTGTCTGACCGCCTACTAACGTCGGATTTATGCCCGACTACCACTGGTGCCGGACTTTTGTCAGACCGTTAATTGAAGCTGGATTTCTTCTCGACCACTAAACGTCGCCAGATTTTCGATCTCCTTTAAACCCAATAGTTGATTGTTGTAATATAGTCATACAAAATTTCAAGAATTAGTGAGTTACTTATAATCTAATCAAACACTAGTTGAATCATTTCAACTTAGCGAAGCCCTGTGAATTTTTTTTCTTTTTTTCAGGTTTTTTCACGTAAAAATTATGGTGTTTCATTTTTTTTCTCTGTGTATTGGATATCCGTACAATGCTGAGACAAAAATTCCTAACTCTATCGCTACATATATTCTAGCCCGCAACAGTTTTCTAGCTTATAAAATAAACTAATTTTTACGTAATTTTTTATTTTAAAAATCATTTTTTTATTTATAAAATTAGTAATGAATCTAATTTAAAGATCCATTAGACTCTCAATTAGCATGGCCAACATTATCCTTGCCCAACCGCATTTAATGGATTCTTGCAGGTACTTCTATGATGGCCCAATAAATTACAACGACTGCACCTGTGTCCAAGTTTTGTTTTCTTTCCTACTTCTAAGAAATTTTTTATTCGCCTTTTTTTGGGTCTGCCACGTGGTCGAAGTGTAATAGGTGGGGTAACTACCACATTATCACTGACTGCAGCCCACATCTCCTTGCCTGGTAAGGTTGAGATCGCACCATCATACGTCATTTTGTATCTGTTCATAAAATCAACGAAAGATGTAACAAACTAGCATAGCATGTAGAAGGCAATTAATTAAGACATTATTGGAATACCTATTAAGATAGTAGTGATCATCAACATATGTATGCCATAATATGTGTTGTGTTGTTCCAATAAAAGCTGCACTATGTATGCATGGTAGACCACTAATTTGCCAGAATCCACAGCTACAAAATTTCATTTCTATGTCCACCTCATGCCTTTCATGAATACCTTCAATTTCAGCTCTGCTTGACGTCGATTGGCGAATGATATAATGAACTTTCCTTGTTGTAATATCTCTAATATACTCTTCCACATGAGGAACAAGTTGACTTCTCCAGGATGCAGAAATTATCTTTCTTTGCGAGCGTTGTTCCATAACAATCAATTCAACAACAGGTTTACTTCTCGCATCTTCGACCCATGCGTTAAAGGATTCAGACATATTATTTGTATTGTAGTGATTTTTAATGTGTAAAGAGAAGGTAGCCTTAGACCACTTGCATGACAATGAACTCAAGTAAGAGTGCACTTGTGGACTAATTTTGAAGATCTCCTCCATTTTCTTCTGCAAGTCATGTAGGTTGTAACTATTTGCGGCTGTCCATACTAGATTTTGGAGCTTGTTGCCATCCTCACAACGAAAGTATTTTTTAATATTTTTCCATTGGTGTCTCATGCAAACCCTATGCTCGGCATTTGGAAAAATAAGTTTTATAGCTTCGCTAAGGCCCTTTTCCATGTCAGAAATGAATGCTAAATTTTCTATATCACAAGCCAAGCTTTCCAACAAGTTCTTCATAAACCATTCCCAAGATTTCTTAGATTCTGATTCTGCAACAGCATATGCTATAGTGTAAAGCCCATTATTTCCATCCAAACAATTCGCAGAAAGCAGTACGCCAAGATACTTTGATTTGAGGTGACATGCATCTACTCCAATTAAATGTCTACATCCATTAATAAAACCTTCAATACACACTTTGAAAGAAACAAAGAATCGCTTGAATGCATTGCTTCTGCTGTCACACATGTATGTAATGTGAGAGCCAACATTCCTGTTGAGTAATTCATATCGCAACGTAGGAACCCACATATAGTTATCATCGACAGATCCAAACATGACATCTCTTGCTAACTCTCTGGATCGCCAAATTTTCATATATGGTAAGGATAATCCATAAGTAGCCTCCAAATTATTGCTAATATCTTTGGGTGTGATATCAGGATTTCTCTTTACAATGTCCATGATTTCATGAGCAACCCAACTAGTAGTTGCTTGTTTGTTTCCTGCTCTATTAACCCCAGGGCATAAATGACTTGATTCAATTTTCCTGACTTCGAAGGAGTGCCCATCATGACACAATGAAGCACGTATTCTCCAAGGACAACCTCTATACGCACAAGTAACAATCACTCTGGATTTGTCACTAGCCTTTATCTTAATAGCATAATTCTTTAAAATTGCAGCCGACCTAACAGCTTGCTTGAAACTTTGGGAATCGTCAAACCGCGAACCAACAAATAGACTATTTGCCTCATCAATTTGTGGTACAAAAAGATCATCACACACATCATCTACTATAATATCATTATAGTCTCCAATATTCGAGCAGTACTGATACATTTCATTTGATTGGTTGTTTAATTCAGTTTGAATGTTCTGGGACATATCGACCTCGTAATGTTTCATTGCGACTGCTATCTCAAATCTATTTCTGTCATAGGAACTGCTCAACATGTCAACTAAATCTGAATCGCTTGCAACCAACATGTAATTCTTAGGTGAAGTTCCGATGACATGATAGTGTAAGTCGAACGGTTGTCCCCGTATCCAATGACAAAGTGCTTCAACTCGTTGTTTTAGCAACACCAAACTGATTTCATCTCTTTGAAGCTTTATGGTTTTCTGACTTCCACCTATATACTTCATTCGCGTTTGACCTTGCACCTCACTCCAATATCCACCGAATTTCAGGACGATGTAGCAAAGATTAATCGAACTCATTTCTGTGCAAAAAAATAATAAATAAGTTAAACAAAATTAGTTAAAAATCAAATCCCGTAAGCATTGGTGAAAAGAAAAACAAAAAATGAGTTAAACTCATTTCTGGGTAGGATGAAGAAAAATCGGTAAGCATGAATAAAATTTTTTCATTTGTTGCTAAGCATTGCATGTGCAAAAGAATCCGTAAGAGTTACTTCGGCCAAGCTTCGTCGCCAATGCTTCGGTTTGCCAGCCCGCATTTTTTGCCTAGGGCACGCGATGAACGGTGATCAAGCGAAGAAGAAGCAACGAAGGAGAACCGGGATTCATACCTGCACGAGAGAAGAAGAAGCGACAAAGCTTGGCCAAAGCTATTCACGCGGGAAAATCGACTGGGTTCGGGGAGAGGGGTTTGACGGTCGGGGCTAACGGAGTGGTATAGCGAATGGTTAGAATGAGAAAGCGGTGGTAAGTAAGTAAATATTTGATTTTAGGTGTTGAATAGGTATTTTTATTAGTTTTAAGTGTTATGTATGTAAAAATCCCTAGAAATATTTACGATATGTATGTGAATAATGCCAAACCAAACCATTATATGGTGGCAAGATAAGTAGAATCACTAATTCACTATTAAATTCAATAAATTATACAAATTGTTATTAATATACATCTAATTATTAGAGAGATGTGAATGTCCCTCTCATGCCTTCGTGTTGATGGTAGCGACGCCTCTCACTCAAGGTCTTTGTCTTAGAGCCTCTAGTATCTTTGACTTTCTAACTTTGTGTCTCGCAAGCTTCTCAATAATTTATCGCAAGCTACGGTATGTGAAAGATTGAATTTGTTGGTCAATCATGATTCCTTGATCAATAGCTTGTTTACTCGCCTCTACAGGTCAATTTTACATTTTCATATATCTGCGTTTGTAACATTGCTTTCAAGTATTCGTATTACTTATAGGCTATTTTCCTTCTTATATTTGTGCAAGACAATCAAAATATTTTGAGTGAAAGAAGTTGTTAAACTTCAAGTCATTGAATCTCTTTACAGCGACAAAAAGTAGGTACTTATAATATAGATAAGTCAACAAATGAAAAAAAAAAATATTGATAGAAGAACCTTGAAATGAACCACCATGACAAATTTACAAGCATTTTAATGATGCTTATGTAGGTGCTAGAAAAGATACTAATATCCATATAATCAATGTGCAAGCTCACTTAGGTCAAGTTAAGTTGTATAACTTTTATTTTCTTATTTCTCTTTATCTCCTAAAAGATATAAGAGAATAAAGAAATTAATATAAATCATCAACAATCTTTTGTGTCAAATCAAACGAATCATATTACTTACAATAATTGAGTTTAATAAGATAAATTCAACATCCAAAACTCATTCTCGACTTGAAACTCATTTAGTGGTGCCTAATTTTAAGATAATTGTGTGATAATCAGACTTATTCATTTTACAACAAATATATATATTATATTAATTTATTTAACTCAAATATAATTATTCATATAGCAATAAAAATTAACCTATATATATAAATAGAAGATCAGAAATTACTCTAAAAAAAAAATAGATTCAGTAGATAAGCTATCATATTAAATTATTAATAAACAAACCTAAGATTCTCAATTTCACATTAATTCCAACTAAATCAAGGAGCATTATTATTATTATTTTTTAAAAAATATATAATGGAAAATAAATTCATTAATAAAAAAAGGTTATCCCCTTTTTCCATTAGCTGATATGTCACAGCTGATTCCAATCTCCTTCAAACATATCTGCACAGTGAAATGCTCACAGCAGATGAAAGTGAGACCTTTTGATCTTCACATCTCACCTACAAATGATAATTATGTACTAACTAGAAAATGACAGATGAATCTTGTTCTTGCATTTTGCACCAAATACTTCTGCTAAATTGCACAAAAATGACCCACCAAAAAAGATTTTTCTAGAAGATTATTAAATTATTGCACAGTTTTAATCATGTAAATGGCTGTTAAACATAACATTTATGATGATGAATATGGCAGTTAGAACTGTATTTTTTCTCTCTTTTTTTTTTTTTTTAAGAACGGGGGTATCTATCCGTTGTCATCCTTCTTATGAGTCGCATGGCAGTGTAACTAATCCCTTGGTGAGCTTACCAACAAACAGCCCCACAAGTGCACAGGATCTGCAGTTATTTTCTTCCCATTTAAGAGGTCACACCACATGAGGGGGTTCGAACATGAGTTGCGGGTTTCCAATCATGCTCGCCCAGCTAAGCCCGATGGGGTGCACTTAGAACTGTAATATGTCACATATTGTTTTTATTATTTAATGTGAGGACAGTATATGGAACCTTAACTTTATTAATATATATAATAAATGTGACTTATCCAAGGAGTAGAACTCCAGATGGAGACTTTGTGTAAAGTTTGAAATTCACTTCATAAATTTTTTTTGAAAAAAATCTCATACTTACTAGAAGAATCAAGAAAGATTATTGTTAGCAAGACTGCCTTGGATATATACAAAAATTTTGGATGAAAGGACTTGCTAGACTACAACTGAGATGTTAACGTGACTATCACTTCAAGGGTGTAGCCAAGGTTGTCCCCTAATTTTCATCTACTTCCCATGAAGTTGATGCATTAATGGATAATAAAAAGGAGGATTTTTTTTTTTTTGGGAAATTTTTTTTGTATTTTGTTTGCAACTTTATTTCATAACAATCATGACAATGGATAATTGAATATAGAGACTTGTCTTTTTTTTTTCACAAACTTATGAATATTTTTGTACAATTTTTTGTTTTGAATTGTTATATTCATTGAAATAATTCACACTTAGGACTTTTTTTTTTTTGAGAAATTTGGATCAATTAAGACAAATTCAGACGCATATCGCATACGCAAGAATTGAACTCAAAACCTCTTGATTTGTAATCAAAACTCCAAACCAAAAAACCAAGATGAGCTACATAATCGACACATTTATCAAATTTTGTTACGACCACATTTTTTTAAAATCAATTTGAGACATTTCTTTCTGCTTTGTTCACAAAATTATAACAACAATTTTTATTCAATCATCACTTTTTAAAACCATTTCCTACAACTAATTTTAAAGAACTATCTTCTCCATAATAATTTTATAAATAAATTCATGAAAAATTACAATCATCCCAAACAAACCTAACTCCTAACCAAAGTTCTAATAGTTAGATCATTCATTAAAGCTTCATTTGGAACAATTATTTTTGTTTTTTTTAAGATAACTTTTTAGTTTAAAAAATTTATTTAAAATTAAAAAAAAATTAATTAAGATGTAGATTAAACAGACATTTAATCTAGAACATTTAATGAATATTAAAATTTATTTAAATAATAAAATAATAATATAAGTAAATAAACAAAACTATTTTATAAAATATTACATTAATCTTAAAAATACTTTCTATAATTTTAAATTTAATCATTCACCAACTCTGCTAAATTTAATCGCGGTAACTGGGCATGTGATCAGTAAAAAAAGCTAGGTAGGTTTCTTACTCTTTATATTTTAGTAATTTATTTTCTAAATTATTTTATTCAAAATTAAATTTACACATAGCATATCCAACAATATGGCCATCTGAAATTATTATTTCACAGAAAAAAAAAATATTATCTTAGAAATTCTTGTCCTATTATGTGCGGAATTCAAATGACATCCCGACTCCAATCACATTTACATCCTTTTTTTTTCCTCTTGAACACAACATGCGTACAAGAGAGAAAATCAAGTTGTTTTCACGTGATTAGAGTCCGTATGAAAAGCTACATCCAAATTACGCACGTAATAATTTCTCGATTGATAGGCTACCAGAGCAGAATCAGGCATGGCTGAGACAATACATTTACTGAGAAGAAAACAATACAGACAAGCATGGTGTCTTCAATACAAGGCTTCATTTTTTGCACTAAATATTGCGCTAAATACAATACAATACAGAAAATATATTAAAAAACTTCAGCAATCTTACTTGCAAGAACACGTTCTCTTCTTTCAATATAGCCATAAGGAAACCAACCAGCTTTTCCTTTGCATTCACCCTCAGCCCATCCGTTGCTGGAGACCTGCAAGAGCTTATAAAAACTGTGTTACTGCTGGCAATAGCCTCTATCTTGTAGGTTGCACAGAAACCTATATTTTACAAAATTATGCCTATCAAATAGCTAAATCTCAATACAACTAGCTTTTCCTTGTGAGTTCTATTTTTTTTTTTTTGAAAGACTCAGACAACTTTCGCAAAGCTACTGCACTAGTTGATTCAAAATGTAGAAGGATGCTCTTCACCGAAAAAACAAAAACAGAAAAAGAGTTGTAGCAAAAGTAAGTCTGACAAATAAGGTTTCGTTTGAGAAGCTTTTTTTTATTATTTTTTAAAGCTGTTTTTTATTATAATTTTTTTTTATTACTAAAAAGCTGTTTTAAGCAGTAAGAAATCCGTCCCAAACGAAACCTAAAACTCTGAGAGAGCTGCCTCAAATGGATCATTAAACCTATAGCTAATCGTAAGACATATTTTACAAAAAAAAAAAAAAAAAAATTAAAAAAAAAAAAAAAAAAAAAAAAGGTCAAGTGGATGACAGATTTCACTAATAAGAGAAACAGAAGGGTAAATCATCTTCAAACTAATGATAATCATGAGCAGACCATCACAGGGCATACTTACCTTCCGTACAACCACATAGTCCCCTACTGACAAGTTGAGTTCAACATTAGTTTCAGCCTGATATGATTGAATGACCTGCACAGTGGGGAAATATGGCCTATTGAGCAAACAGAATTTGCAGAAATACATCAGCACAAGGAATAAAGGAATTTACTTCTGCTAAAAAGTATCCCATGGAATCAGTTAAACCATTCACTGGATTAGAATTAAAAATGCTATTAGCTTCTTCATAGGATGGAGGTGGTGTGCCAGATTCTATAACTGAAGTTGGCGATAAAGATACTTCAATTCTTTGGCGCTCTGAAATCATCTGTTAGTGCATATGTAAGTTCAAATGTCCATAGAAACTAGTTAGAAAAGATGCAGGAAAGCAATATTACAATATTTGCTTTTTATTCCTCAAATAGAACATCTCAATACCTCTCCTTCCAGTTGATCAAGAATTTGCAGCACTCTTTGATGGAAGGTTCTTTCTGACTCAATCTTCAAGGAGAGAGAAAAACAGTGAAACAAGCATAAATTGCCCAAAGTATAACAGAAACTAACCTTAAAGCTGCTAAATATTTAATCACAAATACCATTGCAATGAGCCGCTGTAAGGTCAATCTTTGTTGCTGAGATTCAACAGCAGTCATTGCTGCAACAGCCTCTTTACCTAAGACTGACATATTTGATTTCAACTCTAGAAGTTTTGATTCAGCAGCTTCCACCTTTAAACTATTATCAACATTGCCAGGGGCTTCCCTAACTTTCTGCTGGCGCCTTGAGACTTCAATAGCCTAATATTTTTCATTTCCAAGATTTAACCGTTACAAGGTTGTGCATGAACAACTAAATATAATACACTGATCAACGAATTCTCCAAGCAGGATTCTGCACCTACGCACTCTTAATAAACGAGTTCTGATGAAGGACATTTTAGGGTTTAAGATTTTGTATGTACGTCTAACATGAAATGCAAGACCAACTGATACAACAAACATGTAACATGTAAGTTTCATAGGAAATATGCTATTAATCTTACAACTATTTGCTACTTTCCATGTAAGCTAAATACTGTAAATATTCAATCCAGGCAAAAAGATTGTGGCCTTTGAGCAGAATAAAAGATAGAAAAATTAAAGATGACAAAAGCAACGCAGGAGTTTGAAATTTTGTGCAAAGGAAAGAAGTTGGAGTGCGACAGATCTGACAAAAAAACAATCGCATCAAAATAATACGAATAAGAGAGTAGAAGAAAAAAAGAGAAAATGATAAAACGGTAAAAACTCACAAATAGAAAAGCAATTGCATGAAAAACTAGATATTCTCCATAATATTTTGAGACTCATAATTAATCAAAGATTTAAATCCCGAAAAGAGAAGAGTAATAATATATATATATTAAAAAAGATAATTCTCCACATATATATTCCATCCCTAAGTAGATTTATATGTAACGTCATAAAATATTAAATATGACAAGGAAAACTGCTAAGAAAGTAGAGACTTTAATATTTTCTAGAATAAGTGATTAAAACCAATTAAGTAACAATACCTGAGCCTCAGCTTCCTGTCGAACTTTGTCATAACGCTGAGCAAGATGTCGAGCATCCTCCAACGGAGCACCCATTACCATAGCCCTTAAAGGCTCTGCAACCTGGACATTAAAATTGAAACATAAAGATTAAAACATTCATTTGGAAACATCATTTGAAAAGCAAAAAACCAAGGAAAAGGTGAACAAAATGGTAGTTTTACACCTAATTACCTCATAAACAAATTAAACAAAAAATATAAGAATATAATATTGCGCATGTCAGATGATACAATCATGAATATCAGTTGTAATACCATCAGAATAGTTAAGGCCTCCGATCAACTAGGACTCTTGGGCCCTTAAATTGAAGTAATAATCAAACACACTTCTTATAATAACTCCGAAGTTAGCCTACTAAAAAAGAAAAAAAGGATTTTCCTCCGTTACTAACCGAGAAAGGGCTTTGACTATCCATTTTTCTGTCTATCTGTTAAAAGCCAATCATTAGAATGAATGAAAGAATAGAAACGAAAAGAGATCATCAAATGACCTTCGTCCGACTAAGGTCCTCCGATCAGCATTGTCCAACTATAGTCTTCTGACCACCGTCACTTGACTATAGTCTTTCGCCCACTGTGCCTAAATACGATCTTACGGCCATCATCACCCAATTATAGTCCTCTGACCACTATCGACTAATTACAATCCTCTAACCATGGTTGTCCAACTGTGGTCCCCAAAGCTTCCAACTCGGTTTCCCAACTATGGCCATCCAAATTTTCATCCACAAAATACAGTCCTTCGACTTCCACCACACGACTATGATCTTCAAACCTCCGTCACCCGACCATGATCCTCCAACTTGTGTCTCATAACTAACGGACCCCAATCACCATCACACTTATGGTCCTCAGGCTCCATCGCCCGACTAAAGTCATTCCCCAAGATCTAATTGGATGAATTATTTTTATTCCTAGTTAACTCATCATCAATAAGTAAACCCAGAGCAAACTAAAACATTCAATTACAAAAATATAAATGATTCAAATTTCATCAAAAGAGTCCTGTACAATAATCCAGTATAACTTTTTCTGATATCAAATCATATACATGAATGACTAGATTTTTTTTTTTAAGTTCTAAAATAAAATCAACTACAACTTAAACTTTTGACCTTATCAATCTTTTCTCTACTCAATTGAGGCTTTGCCTTTTCTTAAAATAACATGTAAATACAGAGGGTGAGCAAATCACTTGCTCAATAGGCTATACAAAACATACTAAAAATTTCAATATTTATAATTTAAATAAATTTCCATAAGAAATAAACAGAAAATTTTACAGTTCAGCTAAACTGACTTAAAAAATATGCAATGTTCTATCAATAACATGGTTTTAATAGAACACATAACATTAACAGTATTAGATGTCAATAGCATGAATTTATCAAAAGCAACAACATAATCAGATCTTAAACTTCTATGTGGCAATAATATTAACTTCATTTAAACTTGAACATAAAGTCAGAATGATATACATGGCATGTATATAGATTATGCAAAATATGATTCACATGCACATATATCTCAAAGCCTTCTTAAATCTTCACTTTCACTTATACCTCAATTTGATCATCTTACATTTGTTCATGATAGATGGAGGAACTATATATAGTCCAATTCCCCTTGGACCTTATTATAACACCACTTATACCTCATATATCAATGCTTTTGTGCAGAAATGCATTCAAGCTCACCGCTATTTGTGCAAAAATATACTCATGACTAATGCAATTTATATGGAGAAAAAATTCATTTTTTTCATTGTATAAGGCTGTAACAATCCAAATTTCTGAAAAATAATTGAAAATGCAAAAATCAGAATTATTGTTGAATTGTAGCGCAGCGGAGAGAAAGGGAGAAGGCCGATTTTTGGCTCCCAGATCGCTTTGGCACTTTTGTCAAAATTTCTCAAATCATTGTAGGTGATTCTAATTCTATCTCTATTTTCAAAGATTTTGATTTTAATTATTTGATTCTCTCCATAAATGATTTTATTAAATTTTCTCCGAATTTATTGAACTTTTAACAGCACAACTTTTTGTATTTTATTATGTTGATTATCTTGGATATTTTGACTGTAATATTTTGACTATAACATTTATTGAATTTCACCGAGTAAAATAGAAGTTATTGTATTTTATTCTGTTTTACTAATTGAAAAACTGTTACTTTTACTGTGAGTATATTATTAATACAAGCATTGAAAATGAATGTGGATATATTGTTGAATAATAGTTGGTAGCTATTATTATTATAGTATTGTGATAATAATATATGTGAGGACAAGTAAAAGCCAATTTCACTGACGTTGGTCGGAAAAGACTGACCTTTACATGATGGTGGGCCAACGGACTTTTCATTAAATATTGCAGTATGGTGTTATCATTTGCTGATTCATGTGATATTGATTGGGAGTTATAAGAAATTATTATTATGCTGATGGGAAAAGAGTAACGACTATATTTATTAAGCCAATGGGATACTGATATGGATAAATGCTTATTGAAAAAATACCGCTTACACCAGGATTTTATTGTTTCATTTTTACTGTATGATTTTATTGTTTTATTGTTACTGTTTACTATCAATGTACGGATTTGTTGTTATTGCATTGATTTATTGTTACTGCAACCGATTTTACTGATGGCATTGTATTGATACTGATACTGGTTCATTATACAGATATTGAGCATGTTATATACTGAGCATGTGATTAAGATATTGATATAAAATAACTAGATAAAATGTACATCATTATAGAGTTTTACTCCATTGATATGATTCCGATAGTCCTTACCGATGCTTTGATTTTATAATTTTATAAGATTTTTTTACTGATTGATAGTATTGATATGACGATTATTTTTTTAATTCAACACCTGTACTGGTTTCCAAACCATACTATTTTACTGGCTTCTGTATCATACTCTTTATTGTTTACAAATTCTACTGCTACTACTACTACATGTGCATTTTACTATTTTTGCATCGAGTCATTCATATGACTATTGTTGTTATGAATTGATTAACGACATGACATGCTTTAAGTCAATTGTAGGATTAGATGACATGCTGGATTTTTTAGCTCATTATATGCAGTTTAAATGATTTCAGGTCAGGGCAATAAAGTAGGAGTGAGAGATTGACCATGATCTTTCATATTAAGGTTCTTATTATTGTAGTTATTCTTTTATAATAAGAACAAAGTAGTTATAATATGATTGTATAGATCCTTAGTAGTATATATAATTTTTTGGGAAAACAAATACAGATGTATATATTGATGTTTTGATCCATAGTTTCACTTTCGCTAATATTTATATTGATAAAAGGAATTAAGTAGCTATGGTTGTTGTTTACTACTTATTATAAAAAAAAATTCTTTCAAATTAAATTCTAGGGTTAACACAAAGGCGGCTTGTGAATACACAGCCCGACCATCCATAAATCATACCCGACAAGAAAACATGAGTGCATTATTTCATGAAAGAAAACACAATAATTTTAGTTTTTTCATACAACAACATCAATCTTTTATCCTACCATGTGGGGTCGGCTACAGAATTATTTTTCTCCATTATGTCATGTTAAGAGTCAAATTCCCATTTAATAAAAAATGTCTTCTAGTCAAGTATTTTTTGGTCTATCTCTACCTTTGTTAACATAGGTCAAATTCAATACATCTAATCTCCTAATCGAATCATTGAAAGACCAACGTTTTATGTGTTCAAACCATCTAAGGCAAGTCTCTCTAATCTTATTTGCCACTGGAGCTACTCCAACCAATTCACATATATACTCGTTTCACATTCTATCTCTAAGAGTGAAGCCACTCATCCACATGAGCATCCTAATCTCTAAAACGCTTAAATTTATGCTTCTTTTTAATGACCAACATTCTACGCCATCAATCATTACAAGTCTCACCACCATCTTATAGAATTTTCCTTCTAGTTTGAGAGGTATTTTTCTATCACACAACAAGCCAGATGCATTCTTCCACTTAAACCATCCAACTAGAATTTGACTAATAATATTCCAATCTATTTCACTATCACTTTGAACAATAGACTCAAGATATTTAAAATATATACTCTTATTGATGACTTGATCGCCTGAAGTCACAATCCCCCAATTAGATCTTTTACTACTAAAATTACACTCCATGTATTCGGTTTTAGATCTACTCAAACAAAAACCTTTAGAATATAAAGTTGACTTCCATAATTCAAGTTTTACTTCAACTCTCTTGTCCTATCAAAAAAAGTAATATCATCAACAAGAAGTATACACCAGGGAATATCCTCTTGTAAATGTCTGGAAAGAATATCCATGACTAAAGCAAAAAATATGAACTTAAAGTTGATCCTTCAGGTAATCCAATTGAAATAGGAAAATACTGGTCAAACCAAATTGAGTTTGAACACAAGTAAAAGCTCCACATATATATATATATTTTAAATGATTTGAATATAAGCACTATTAACTCCTTTCTTTTTTAGAACTCACCATAGCACTTGGAACTTTATAATATGTTTTCTCTAAATCAATAAATATCATATGTAGATCCTCCTTATTCTCTTTATACTTCTCCATCAAATCTCTCAATAAATATATAACTTCCATAGTAAACCTACTTGATATGAATCCCAATTGATTTTGAGAAACATTAGTATGACATCATAACCTATGCTCAATAACTCTCTCATATAGTTTTAAAGTATGACACATTAACTTAATTCCTCTAAAATTCACAATCTTGTGCATCACCTTTATTCTCAAAAATAGGAATCAACACACTCATCCACTCATTTGATATCTTTTTAGCCTTCAAGATAATATTGAAAAATTTTGTAAGCCAAGAAATTCCTTCATCTCCTAAGCATTTCCACACCTCTATTAGAATATCATCATATCTAACGGCTTTTTCATACTTCATTTTCTTTAAAACCTCTCAAACTACAATTTAACTAATACGACGATAAAAACAAAAATCTCTATTTTCATTTAGGGTTCTATGGATGTTGAATCCCGTTTTGTCCAGTGGATGATTTCAGGTCATACT